TCTAACCCTTAACCTAACTCTAACTCTAACCCTTAACCTAACGCTTACCTTTATGTGAATCAGCTTGCTGTAATTTAATTTTTATTTCAATTTTTCAATCTTTTTCGTCACGTTGTGATGACGTCACATACGCAATTTCGTCGACCGCGCTTTTGTGGAATGCGGTTTTGACGGGTCACGAAGATTACAACATCATCCCATATTCTAGGAAATTCCCACTATGCATCCTGTGAATGTTAAAGCTCTTTTTTAAAAAATTGAAGATATACATTCCTTGACGTTTCAAATGGAACTTGCCAGGATCAATCTAAAAGTAGGGTAATGGCTTGAATATGTTTCTTGCTGGATTCTCTCTAGGATGTGCTACACTTGATATCTTCTTCGTTGCCTGTGATTGAAAATACCCAAAATGCTCTGATAACAGAAGAGCTGGTTGAATGGAAGCATCGACAACAGATGGCTTGCATTGGCGGCCCACCCAACGCTTGTCTAGATCAGCTTCAAAACTGGTAGGTCTCTGAAGCATGGCAAATACAATCGGGAATTTTCAGAATTAATTCAACCAGAAGGGGGAAAGTACCTGAAAATTTCCACAGAAAACTTTCTGTTCTGAAAACTGGTACCTTCCTGAAGTGTCAGAATTCTGCTATTCCTCTTTTCTTGTTATGTTTTCCACATTTTTAAAATATGTGCTTATATTCTTCTGTTGATAAAATGCACTGCGTTGACTGTGCTGTTTGAGAATTATGACACTTGGATTCCAACACTACCAATGGTACCAGGTCTAATAACTTCTCAGCAAATGTTCCAACAGTTGCATTTCTACATCTGGGCAAACTCCTTAAGTGACTCATGTCCCTAAGAAGTGGACATTACTAATGGTTGGAAGGCTTGTGATTCAGAAGTGGAATCCAGGGTCCAAACAGTTGTATATGGATTCAAGCATACCATGAATGCTCTGAGATATGTGCTTCAAGAGCCTTGTAAAGTTAGTGTTGTCCCTAAACAATTAAAGACTGCTGGTTTCTGTGCTTGTTAACCTAAGGAGAAATGTAGCAATCTTCATATCCAATCATTGCAATGATAGGTTTACCTCAGTGGCTGAGAGTCTTCAGCAGATTCTTCAACAGCTTAAAAAACTGGAGGAGCTGGAGCAGAAATTCACCTATGACACCGATCCCATTACCCAACAGAAGAAAGGGCTTATTGAGAGGACATGGAGTCTCTTCAAGCAACTCATTCAAAGGTATTTTTCTTCTTGTGTTAGATGGGTCAGAATGGGCATTTCCTTGTTTAGAAAAGTGTATTTGATCTTGCCATCCAAACTGAAGTATCTGTCCCTTTTATCTTGCTGATTACATTATTTGGTTGAAATGTGAGCAGTCACATTATTCCCAGAAAGTCTTTGCAGACCTATCTAGTGAAATGATTTTTGTTTGAAATCATGCAGTTTTGTTTAAATTAGTGTCAGGGTCCAAGTAACAGATCCAACCCAGTCGGACCTCTGAGGCCTAGGTGTTCCTCAAAGTACACATTTATTAGGCATGTCGTACTGGCACATCTGATGAAAACCTGACTCCGAAAGTCCTGCAGTTTTCCCCATCCAAATTAAGTCAATTTCCTTTCCCCCAGTCCACATGTCCAGCACATGGTCCAATCCAGTCACAGATCCAACTCCAGTTGGTTTCAGTCTACGCCTCCCCAGCACCTGGTGAGAACGTCCTTGGTCCCCTGGAGAAATAATTTTATTTTGGCTACATGTCTCCAGCTATCTCTATTCCCCCCTCCTATTCCCACAGCTCCAACCAGCATAGCTGTGACAGCCATGAAGATGCTCCAAAATGGCTTCAGGGTTGACACTTAGATAAGTTTAGATTTGAATCAAATTTAAAAGAAATTGAAAGGTGTCTCCTATGGTTAGTGATTTCCTTGCAAACTACAGAGAGTCTTCTAGAACAGTGGTCCCCAACCTTTTTATCGCCGCGGACCAGTCAGCCTTTGATAATTTTACCGTGGCCCGCTGAGCGTGCGCAGGGGTGGGGGGCGTTGTTCACGACGACACATTGATTGTTTATATA